ACCCTGGATTTCCACCCAATCGAAATCTGACCCTATAGGCTATACATGGCTATAGGCTATGGGTCTTCAATTTGGACCTGGCAAAAGAAAGCTCAAGGAATGTGAGGCCCCCGTTCGATAGCGTTCAGTTGATTTATAACTTCAATAACTATGGTTTATTATACATATAACATCTTATAACTATAGTATTCATGGGGTTTATAAACCAAGTTATAACTGGGGGGGCCCACATTGAAGGAATCAGCAACTTTTTTTTCCGCTACATGGAACTACGAGTCAAGAAAACTGAACTCCCTACCTCGCGCAGGCGCACCTCGTAGTCGCAGAACCACTCGAAATCTTTGGAATCTGCCTGAGGTTTCAAAGTTCTCTGTTTCTTGTGATTGAAAAACTGTGGAAAACTCGGGTTGGTTGTCCTTCTTGTTGAGCGGGAGGTGGATTTGTTGCTTCATGTGTTTTTGCGTCCAAAGACATACTTTACTAGTCATCTGGGCAGCATATGTTTGGTTCTTAATTATATGTTTTTCTTAGTCTGAATAACTCTCAACATCGATCTCTACATTGCTGTAGTTTTACTGCGAACAGCTAGGAGTTTGGCATCAGTTTCTCATCAAACTGTCAGATATCTCTTGGTGTGCTGCCAAGATACCGAATCACCTGAATAAAACTTCTCCCAATACTCCTGGGTACCTCGTTGAAAACAGGGCTGCGGCTAGTGGCGAGCGACACCTGCTCAAATCCAATACGATTTGAAGCGAATCATTATCTGACAGGCAAAGATACAGTTATATAAATGCCAAAAGACGTACAGCAGTGCTGTGGTACTTAAATATCTATATCACCCAAGAATAGTACATCCGGTAGAATAAAGGCTTATTGCAGCAAAATGTCAACGCCGCTTACAATCTGGGACTTCGAAAATGTGGCAAATAAATTGGCTTTCTGTTCAAGACTATTAATTTAAATCTGGCTGAATTATGTAATTATATATGGAATTATATATGTAATTAATTATATATATATATATTGATCCACTAACATGAACATAGCTGAAACTTCTGGCCATTGGATGATTCCGAATCCTAGCAGCTCTAGCATCCTTCTGCCGCATTCCAGTTTTTGGTCACAGGGAGATTCACATCCTGTTTTGATCTAATGTGGTTAAAACAATGCCATAAACTACCCATGACTGGGAATGGTTTATATATACCACCTATAAAAATGGTGATGACTGGGGGACGGTTTATGGCATTGTTTTAACCACAGTAATTGAGATTGATGAAGAATGATAGATCATCTCATAGGAATGAATAATGATACCGAAACACTGATTATGTTTGTCATAACGATAATGGCAACAATCATAGTAATCATCAGGATCATGTTTCTGTTGTTGGACCAGCTTCCTCTTCTATTGGATGGTCCAAATTTGCATATTCTACCACATGTTCATAACCTTCAGTGATCAAACGTGGCAACTGGAAATCTCAGTTGTAATATGTTGTAATTAGACAAGATGATTTTGCCAGTGAAACCTCCATTTTAAATGGGGACTTTCCATTGCCAGCTTTGATTGAGGCCTTGTCTCTGCTGAAGTTGTTTCAGGTCGCGCCAAAAAACGGAAACTGCACCACTCGGAGGTCCAAAAAGCATTGTGCTCTTATCATCTGTTACCCATTTCTTGGGCTACCAATTTAGGTCCAGGTACTTCAACGGTACTTCTGTCCTTGACTTGTGAAGGTGGACTATTGACAGGAGATCACCACACCTCACAAGTGATACACGCATCAATCTACCTATAGGGCTATCTGAACTGATGAGATTCCTTCAAAGCACCAACAGCTCAACAGCCGACTTTCCGCCGACCCAAACCACTAAGACGGTGCTCCTCATCTCAACCAATCATCCCAACTATGGTTGAAACACAATATTTGAAACCCCCAACCAGGAGAGAGTCTCCGGATACGTTATTTCTCAGTTCCCCCCTCCATCTTTCTTTTGGATGATGCTCCAGCCTAGGGTTGATGCTCCAGCTTGGGGTTTCAGTCAAGACATGAATAGCAAGACTGGGGAGGGTCAACTGTTATATACTGTTATTAAGTCATCCCCCACAATCCAATATGGCATTCATGGCAATCATCAATAAATCATTACAACTTGCAGTCGCAGAGAGGCTATGTCAAATACCCTATAACACCGCAACAAGGGCCATGCACCCAACCAATTCATCCACAACCATTTCACAACATACAGTACCGGTTCCATGAAAACGCCAACCCCCGATACTCTCCCGATACTTTTTCCCTGCTCAAGTGGCCAAAAGTTGTTGCTTGACGCTGGCTCCGAAGCGCCTAGAAGTTTTCAGTAAAGAACGTGAGTGTGAAAATGGGACTGTATTCCCTCAAATGGCATCGAAACGGCATCAAATGTCAATATTTCAAACAAAGCTGCACGTATCTCACAAACATCTTGGAAATTTGCAAAGGCCCAAACCACACAAATCGACTCCATTGCAATGAAGTTTCCACCCTATACATCTTCACACAATTCGCATGGCCAAAACACTTGAGATGGGTCAGGAAACGCTACCAGTTTTACTAAGGGAAGTTCCACCAGCCCTACAGCCAAGCGCTGGGAACTGTGTGTATCCCATTTCATACGGTTTTTAGTCATCAAAGCTTGGTCAGTGTCCAAGTGCTTACAACGATCGATGACTATTAATTACATGGCACTCAGATGATCCAAATCCACTAGAAAAAGAAACCCGCTGTGTCGGTCTAACGTAGAAAGTATCAATCACAAGTTGGCCAACATTAATGATCATCTATAGACATGAGGTGCATTTTGTTGCCATGTTTCTTCACCAAGACATCATTTCCAGTATAATTGTCTTTTTAGGGTAGCACAATAGTCCCCGAAAAAACTCATCAACAGGCGCCAGGGTCATATGTTTTATGGTCAAATCCGCCATTTTGTGAAAGTTAAAAAACACCAGACATGTTGCTGTTTAAGTTCCATCGTTAATGCTTCAATCACTCTGTTGCCAGTGAAAAATCTAGTTAAACTTGTTTAATGATTCAATCATCACTATCATCACTCACCGATGAATCTGATCTAATCTGATCACATTTCACCAAAATTTCACCATCATGATTTTTGTGATGTCACCATCAGTTTATACTGGTTTCATGTTAAATCACCAATGCTTCATGAGAAGATCCATCAAAAGTCTGGGATTTTCCACCCAAAGGTCCCAACTGGTCCCATCCTGTCTCCCTCTCGCGCCACTCCAAGCGGTGATCCTGTCAGGATCGCCAAGCGGATAGCCGCAGAAAACCCACGAGATGTGGCTTGAAGCTGAAGAATGTTGGAGTCTTGTAACTCTAACCATCAAAAATGTAGCAACCCCACAAAAATAACAAAAAGTTGGATGAATTTGGTGAAATCCAGATCGAACAGATGTAATACATGTAGTACATGTAAGATGTTCTGCGTCTTTTCGGGGGGGTGCTTTGTGGAGATGAGGTTTGAAGCAGATCTGTTGCATTTCTAGTGGCATTTCTACCCCGAAAGTCCGAAAGTCCTGTACCGTGCACATAGCAACAGCACCACAAAAAAAATGACCAACCTCGCTGGCGCAGTCATTGGATTTCTGCTGGTCATTCCCTCCGATGTCATCAAAGCTGGAAAATCAACCATGACTCCATGACTAGTTGGATGGTCTTCCCAGCTAGAAACCATTAGAAACCTCCATTTCTAGGGGAGTGTCCATTGTCACACTTGATGACCTGGGACATTTTTGGAGCCAGATCCCGTTGAAAAGAAACATGTTGGAAGCTCAAACAATCGCCGAAGCAAATCGTACAGTATGCCGGGTACCTGTTCTCACTCCATGACTGGAACCATTTCATTGCTGGTTCTATCCCATTCTTGGATATCTAGATTGGAGTTCTCCGAAAAACACACACACACACATGTTTATTGGTGCTCATATGGTAAAGCATGCTAAAGCCATAAAGCAGAAACCATACATGGTTCTATACTATTTGAGGGTTGCAATAAACAATGGCTGATCGCATTCACAGCTATGTGCTGTTTGTCACAACCCCCATTGTTTGGGTGATACGGATTCCGATACGTCATGCCCTGCCCTACACCAGGTAGTCAGCCATAAAACCCACTCATCCCTTACCCCCAAGACCGAGGAACCTTTCAAGTCTGACCATTGCGACTCAACTCGCCAGCACTGCAGTCTGGTGACTACAAACATGGTTCATTTCCATGGCGGTCGCCATTGAGCTTCCAAGGATAGCTGTAAAAATCCCCGTCGAATTTTGGGTATGGGTCCTCCAACCCTTGGAAGGGCATATCACGGCATCATGGATATCACGGAGATATCGTGAATATCATGGGATATAATATATATATATATAATTATATACATTATATACATTATATGCAGTGTATATACACGTCATAGATATCCAACAAAATTCCAACAATATGATTGATTTGGATATGGGTCCAACATTGGCCAAAATCCAAAATCTCGGGTCTCTTTGGGGTTGAATCTCTGAACAGCTTACTGAATGCTTCGCTGTTTTGTTTGATTGAATGAAATTGTTTTAGCCACTCATTTACTCTGCCAAGATGTCTCTTGAACTCCAGATGTCAATGGCATGTCGCGGACGAGTCACTGGTTTCACCCCCAGGTTTAGGGTGTTCCCCCAAAGCATTCTGGTGCAGCAAAATCAGCGGCAGTTTGTCTTTTGAGACCTCGTCAAAGGTACTAGGATGTACAGACGGTCTGAATAGTGAACATATAGTAAACATATTGTAAACATGATAACATGAAATGATTCACCTTCAACTGTTTAAATGGTGAGTTTCCGTAAATGTCCATAGCAAACTGTTGAATTACCAGGTTCCTCAGGGTAGCATCCATTTCTTGAAAGCTCCAGATAGGTCATAGGTCAAGGTGTTTCCCGCCATGCCGCGGCCTCGAGGGGTGCAGCGTTCGTAGGCACTGGGCAATCTTTGCCAATCGTTGCTCCAGAAACCTATGGGGCTCGGCAGCTGGACCATCTCAGTCTGGATACTGTTTGTAGACACCAAAAAGATGCTGAAAAGCTTCACTTGACCATGGCTAAATATATGGATTAATGGGATATAATCCATGAAATAAAGCCATTATATCCAATATATCCCATTATATAACCATTATATAACCATTATATCCATTATATCTATATCCATTCTCCATTATTTCACTGGGATTTGACGTTTCTATATGTTTGCGAGCTATGGCGAAAATCACTGGGCTTGGCTGCGGGCCATGTGGTGTCGCGCTTCTCGGATACGTGGATACATGTGGATAGCAACATAGATGATATATATATATATATATCAACATATCGCATCCATGGTTGGAAAGTCTAGCTGGGAATTTCCATGATCAAAGATGCGAAAGAAATCAAGGAGATAGCCTGAGAGATATGACAGTCATTGGCGATCATGACATATTTGTTGGGATGGAAACAAAACATGTTTGAACCGGCGAACCACATAAATATGGTCGGTAAGTGGGGCAAGCCATGCAGACCATATCAAGCCATTTTGAGCAGTCAATGTCCTCAGGCAGCAGACGTTTATCGATGTTCCCTCTAGTACTGTGACCTGACGTGAACCTCCTCTACTGTGTCTCTGAAGCTTAAAATAGATTCAAAACAATCCATCTCCGATTCAACACACATTAACATTGTGAGAAAAATGGTCGTATTGAGTACATCTCCCCTTTTCTAATTAATTAATCCAGATGGCGCCATCATATTGTAGTATATGTATATACAGTGTATATGTGTGCAATTTATGTATGTATGTATGTATATATATATATATATACATGCATACCACTGTAGAATGTGTTTAACAAGGACTCAAAACAATGATGATGGAACGTCTAGACTGTACAAGATGGATTTGCCTAGCCTAAGCAAGGTCTCTTAAAATCTATGTATGTCCGATCTTCTGACAAATCCCTCCAAACATGTTGTGCATAATACGAAAATCTACCCTGCACATCCTACAGAATTCCCCGTGGTTAGTGGCTTTAACCGGTCCCAAACATGCTAGTCATCTTACATATGTGAACCAACATTGTCCTTTGAGGAAAAATAGAGGGACCGGTTTCCCATATCTATCTATCATTTATTGATTGGTCGTTGGATGGGGGGAACCTTCTATGAATCAACCAATCAGTGGAAAAGGACACAAAAAAAACTGGAAAATCCACCATTGATCTAGACAATTCACCATTGATCGAGACAAGTGTCCCATTTCAAAGTCCATTTCTAGATGATTCTTCCATCTATACACATACCCAGATGCTCCATGGTGCTGGAATATTTACCTACATTAAAAAAAAAAAACTTTACTTCGTGTGATCCCCACCATGACATTTATACATTTTCTTACTGGCAAATCTTCTGGCATTCTATCTGACATATCTTCTGACATTCTATTTGACATTCTATCTGGCATATCTTCTGGCATATGATCTGGCATATCTTCTGGCATATCTTCTGGCAAATCTTCTGGCATTCTATCTGGCATATCTTCTGGCACTCTATCTGACATATCTTCTGGCATTCTATCTGGCATATCTTCTGGCATATATTCTGACATATCTTCTGGCATTCTATCTGACATATCTTCTGGCATATATTCTGACATATCTTCTGGCATATCTCTGGCATATCTTCTGGCATATCTTCTGACATATCTATCTGGCATATCTTCTGGCATATTTTCTGGCATTCTATCTGGCAAATCTTCTGGCATTCTATCTGCCATTCTATCTGGCATATCTTCTGGCATATTATCTGGCATTCTATCTGGCATATCTTCTGTCATATCTTCTGGCATATCTTCTGACATTCTTTCTGACATTCTTTCTAACTTTCTTCTGCACATTCTTTGTCCCATATCTTCCTACATGAGGTCCGGCAGGGAACACTTGGCGTGGATACTCGCGGTTGAGGTCCGGCAGGGAACACTGGGCGTGGATGGTCGTGGTTGAGGTCCGGCAGGGAACACTGGGCGTGGATGGTCGTGGTTGAGGTCCGGCAGGGAACATTGGGCGTGGATGGTCGTGGTTGAGGTCCGGCAGGGAACACTGGGCGTGGATGGTCGTGGTTGAGGTCCGGCAGAGAACACTGTGGATCGCGGGTCGCAGTTGAGCAAGGACGACGAGGACGACGAGGACGACGAGGAGGACGAGGAGGAGGAGGAGAGGAGGACGAGGCAGGAGGAGGCGGAGGAGGAGGAGGAGGAGGAGGAGAAGGAGGAGGAGGCAACTGACATAAAATCTAACAACCCTCACCTGGCAGGTGGGGAAAAAAAACAAAAATGACCCAGTTTTGTAGGTCAATATTCCAGCACCATGGTTCGCATCTGGGATATCTAAACCTCCATCTATCGTGCCACTTGATAACTCTTTCCCGCCGCGGCGTTTCGTTTCCCCCAGAAAATTCCTGGGATTCCTCGCCGGCTGCCAGGTATCCACCCGGTCCATGACGACGGGTCTCCTGGGAATGTGGGATAGCCGGGGTAGTTGGGATGGTGGCCCAAAATGTGATGTGAACGTTGGTTTGTCATTCACCCCATGAATACTATAATTGTATCTGCCATAAACCATAGTGAAATGGGAGTTATTGGAACCAACTTAGCTAACGAACTGGGGCAATATCATGGCAGATATCTGCCAATATCTGCCATAAACCATATAGTTTAATGGGAGTTCTGTGAACCCCAACTGAACGCTAACGAACTGGGGCACCAACTTAGCTACAAGTGGTTGGGATTCTCATTCCAGTTTCATGGGGGTTCTAACTGAATATGGGAAGAAACAATAATGTCCTTCCATTACACCAGCGTACTTGAATAGGAATTCCAATCAATTCCCGGTTCATAGATGATCATAGATGATAATCCCATATAATGTGGGAAAAACAATCATCAACCACCTATTTGCCATGGGATTATTCAGAACATATCGTGGGATCAGAAGATAAATATGAGCTGCCTAGGAGTCCGCCGTGGAACTCAACATCAGATGATCCTGCATTCCTACTATTTCCTATGAGGTAATCTCGCCTGAAAAAATCCCTTTCCTCTATTGAATACCTACCATCTGGGGCCACATGAAGAAATCCGATACTCTAGGCTATAGGCTTGGCGGAGCATTTCAGATTATACCGGGGGCCCAGGTATGTTACGATTGCAATCTCCATAGCATCATATCTAGTTGCGGGATGTTGCTCGTCTTGAGGGCCTCACCAGAAAAAAGTGATCCGATCTGCTCACCAATTACCATCACTCATTACATTGAATCCCAGTCTACTTCGGGACACTTATATAAACTATACATAAACTGACAGTGTGATTATTATATATATATATATGCACATATCTATAATATATATATACACATCTATCTATCTATGTATATATATACATAATTTCCCTTATTTCTAGATTGGATTATGATTATCCACATTTTCCCATAGAAGATGGTATTCCCCTTCGCGGGGCGCCATGGGATCCCGGGGATCCCTCAAGTAACGTCCTCCACATCCAGCACGACATAGTCAGGTAAGAGATGTGTCAAGGGCTGCCTAGCCAAGTCGTGGGGATGTCATGGAAGTCACGGGGGGTACCCCTATTTTTTTTCTGGCTGGATTCGGTTGATTTCCATGGGAAAATCCCAAAAAAAAATGGATGAGAACTGGGGGTAGCCCTATTTTAAGAATCGAAACCCTCATATGTCAAATTATGTCAATCAGGAAAGTTCCGATTGACAAAAATTGAATATGAAAAAAACACCAAGGGATTTTCTGGTTTTTCTCCATGGCTTTGCCAACGCTTAACCAAAAACCAAAATGGCAGATCCTCATCATCAACTCTTTTTCGGAAGCCATGAGGCTTGGCTTCGAACGGATCAAGCACTGATCAAGCACCGCTTCAACGGGAAATTTTGTTCAGGTCAGGCTGGTTGCAGCCAAGATTCAGAAGCGGAACATGGAGGAAAAACCAGCCCGAGCTTTCAGATGATCTTCAGATTTAAAAGATGGGACTTAGTACAGTAGCTAGTAGCCTGGACATTTTGTGACTTGGGCATCCAACCTGGCGACCAACCCTTTGAACGGATTCCTATAAAACCTGAAATTTTGTAATTACCATCATCACCATCATCTCAATTACTGTCAAGCAACGTTTGTGTCACCGGCTTGGCTTGAACGAACATCTACAGGAAGCCACGGTTCCCGCTAGTTCACGTGGGTTTGTCTGAAAATTGGGTACCTCAAATCCCGTAGTTGATCATTGTTTTCCCACTTAAATGTAGCCAGAATGCAGGGTATACCTCATTTTCAGACACAGCCATATGTTTGAGGTTGGTTATATATATATATAGAGATAAATATGCATTATATTCCCATGAAATCCTAATAAATCCATGTTGTTGATGATTAATTCAGAGATTCTGATGCAGTTGCCCAGATTTACTACTAGCAGGTCATTGAGCTTGGCTTCCCAACCTTGCCATGGGCGGAATCGTGGGCGTGGATAACATTGTCAACGCCTGCGGGGTGGGAAACAAAGGGCACTGGCGGCATTAGCCTCTGGGAATGAAATGTGGCAAGCCGGAAAATCTTCGTTTTACCCTCCAGTAAATTAACATAGACCCTGCCAGTCATCGGGGTTGGAAGATGAGTTTCCATAAAAAATTGCTTATTTTCAGGGTCCAACTGTTAATTTGCCAGAGTGTAATGGCTTTTGGATGGGAAAACTATCGAACGTAACTAGGTGGATTTTCCCGCCGCGTATGATTGCCGGAGGGAAAGCCCGAATCCTCCCATGTTGGAGAAAATTAGAGGGAATTGAGCAGGAAAATAAGGCCCAAGCGCAGAAAATTATGCTAGGTCTAGGTGGAGGGAACAATACTATTTTAAGTTGTGATTAAATAAGAAATGGTGATCTAATCGTATTTAATGGGATCTAATGAAATTGGTTAATCCTCCTTACAATGTGAGGCCCCCAAACGATAGCTGAATTGACTTATAACTTGCTTTACTCGGCTTTATCCGGGATGTTACTCTATAAGTTAATGGTTTTATAAAGCAAACCCCATCATTCAAATAATTTCAAATATGGTCTGGGCAAATAATGACAAGTCCTGAAGTATTAAAGTGAAAATGAAGATATGTACACCTTTAAATTGGCAACTATTGGGATGATCCCAAAACCAACCATCGACTCGTTGCCTTTTGATATCTATATGGCTCATGTGAATTCATGTCCGTTGGCCATGAATTATCCATTACATATAAACATCCATTTCTTCCCATATTTATAGAATATTATATATATAATATATTATATATATATATATATGATATATATATATATATTATTATATATATTATATATAATATATATAATATATATAATATATATAATAATATATATATATATCATATATATAATATATTATATATATTATATATATTAAATATATTACATATATT